ACCATATTCGCACAAAATTCCAGTTATAAACACAAGATTTCCATATGATTTTTCAAGCCATAAACTTCAAAATCCAAAAATTACTATGAACACCACAAAACAGACTCCCAGGTTCAAGCACCACGAGCACAAAGATTGCAGATTTACATACATCATAAAAACCACTAATTTGACAACTTAATCAATCCCAAAGTTTATACCTACATCAGCCCAACATTGTAAGAATCGAAATCATTCATGAGAAATGACACAAAGCTCCTAAAGATCTCACGCAATAGTAGTGACTTTAGGTAGCTATCAGGTTTACGAACTATTGTCATTTTAACACAAATCTGGGTTTCCAAATCATAAACCTAAAACAATCAAACATTAAAACTCAGCATACCAAAATAATAGCTAAAGAACATACCAAACATCATTTTCTAATGCACAAATAGCATTCATTTCCAACCTTGAGAACTCCTACCCACATCAACTTAGGATAGAAGTCAGACCCCTTCAAGTAGAGTCGAAATCAAAGGCATAAAACGAGCCCTCACCTCATCCTGTCACCGGCGTTACTGTCCTCGGCGGCGGTGCAATCTCGGTACTCGCCTTTTCCTATAGCTTCCGAGGCCATAAAATCAAAACCCAAAAAGAAGCAAATCAGAAATCCAAACCCAGAAATCTAAAGCAAAACAAGATTCAGTAGAACCTAAAAAACTTACCACAGGGATACCACCCTGCCGTCGTCATCTTCGTCGCCGGCGAGATCCTATAATAGCGCCGCCGAGTCCCTTTCTTCCATTTCCTTCGACCAAAACCAGAACCAAAACCCCAGAGATAATAAAACATAGTCAGAACCCCAAACCCGAAAAGATCGAATCACCAAATAAATCGAAATCGCCAAAAGAACCCCCAAATACGACATGCAAGAAAAAACCCGTCTTACCCTCACTGCCGCGTCCATCGCCGGTAAGTCTCTGACCGGCGGGGATCCTCGTTTTCCCTTCCCTTGACCGAAAGACAACCCTGAAATCAAAACTAAACAACAATCAATCCCAAAACAACAAAAACCTCAAAAACCAGACATGCAATCCAAAACCATCACTTACCCCTGATCGTCGTTGACGCCGTCGTTCCCGACGTCGCCGAAGATGGCACCGGCCGTCCTCGCTTATCAATCACCGTAAGTCGCCGTCCGGCCTCTGTTTCCCTTGCTCCTCCATCGCCCCTCTCTGCCGAGAGCTACTTCCCATTCCCGCCTCGATCAGGCCCAAAAAAAATCCGAATCAAAACACAAACAAAAACATGCATTAGAACTGAAACACTCGATCAAACCGCAATCCGACCCCATAACTCCCCTAAATCGACATGCAAAACCCAAAACCCTACCTCTGACCATCATTGTCGGCGTCAATCGCCCACAATGCCACTATCTCGGTCTATCTCCGATGATTACTTCACGTCGGCACCAGAAGAGATAAAAAAGAGGGAGAGAAGCAGATCGAGATGAGAGGTGAGGTGAGGAACAGGAGAGAACTGAGAAGAGAGGATAAGGTCGTTTGTGTTTTTTTCTGATATGGGTTTCTACTTTCGAGAGCGTAGTGAGAACGAGGGCGGCTGCCGGCTGGTGCTAAATGAGTTTGGGTTTCATTAGGCTAAAATTAGTTTACATGCCCGAGCCTCCTAAATGACTAAAATGCCCCCTCTAATTAGTCTATACTTACCCGTTGCCACTCGGTCCACAGAAAAACGAAAAAATCACCAAAATATTATTCCTAATCCTTTCCGGCTTTTGAATCGTTGACCCAAGGATCGACTAAATACACAACAAACACCACTTCAGACCATTTATGCTATCCCAATGTGCATATTAATCTCAATCAATTTTGGAGTAAATCAACTTAATGCTTAACTTACTTGTTAATTATTAGAATTCCGTAGCAATCCCAATTAACGACTTAATATTTAACCTACTAAAAAAGATTGACTCTATTTTTGAATATTTGTCTACATATATATATTTATTTTACGAAAAATCCCTAACACGAGAAGTCGTGTTCAATAGAACGTGACAATCGTATCACCAAATTCATCAAAATCATCAATAATTCAATAACTAAATCACCATATAAAAATTATCTTCTAAAAGAAAACTCAATATAAAACCTTAACACGATCAATAGAACGTTTAAGGTTTTTCATATTCAATCCTTCAACATAAACGAACTACGTGGACTTTGATCCCGATTACTCGGGTACGTAGGCAACCAATAGGTTCGAGTCCAACTAATTAAAAAACTCTTTCTTCGCTTTTGAGATTTTACATCAATAGATGTATGCTCAAATTGTAGTAACAAAATACTTAATTGAATGCAATAATATGTAAATAAGCTATGAATAATGAAACACTCAACCTTTAAAAAACTTATCGGTTTAAGTAGTTCCCATTTGGGGCGTTGTGGGGTGTGAATACACTTCTCCACACGTAACCGTACTCCCGAACCTAGAATGATCTAAAATTCGCAGACCAGAATTCTGGTTTTAACAAAAAATTCAAAACTGGAAATGGGTGTTCGATCCACCACAAATAAGACCGATGGCGACTCCGAGCGTGACGCGACGGATCCCCCGATCCGGAGGGGCGGTTGCGACAAGTATGGTGCTAACCCCTTATGGAGTTAGCACTATAACTTGTCCCTCAAAACTTATATACTACAAAACCTTATTTCTAATCGTCCATATTTTTTTTCATCTAATGGCAAAAAATGCACACGCATAAGGAAGAGTGTCAAGAATCAAGATGAGCCTAGTAATTTTACCTTCATTTTTTTGTTTAGTTTACGGCCTGTCACGGATCTAGAGGAGAGAGTGAAGCTTATTTGATTAGTCTAAGAATTTTTTTTTCTGACCACCCATTTTTCTTAATCGGGTCATATCTTTTATGTTGTAACCCAAAAGGTTAAATAATTTTCATATAAGTGACACATTAATTAAGAAGATCTACACATTGAGATCAACTTTGCTGTGTTTTGAGCAAGAAAAAGAATTTGCTCTTCAAAAGACGTGTTGTTTGTAGTATTATCACTATCATATTTGTCATATCATGACCTTACCACTATGGTCATACTAACTGCACATTATATCAATATCATATCATGTATCACTATATGATATTGTAGTATATGATGTCATCAAATTATTTTGTCAAACTTAAGACATCATACCAACATCATATCATTATCATATCTTAATATCATCATTATACCATGTTGATAATATTATGATATGAGAGTAATATGATGTTCTCAAATTATTTTGTCAAACATAAACTTCATACCAACAATATATTACTATCATTACTAACATCATACCACTATTATATCATACCATTGTCAGTGGTAATATCATGATATGATAGTACTATGATGACTTGAAATGTTTTTGTTAAGAAAATTATCAACATCGATATCATCTTGTAAAGCACAAAAATTATAATACTTCTTTGCAAAAAAAAATTAATATCCTATTTAAAACGAAAGAGATATGGTCAGTTGAATTTTTGGAGAAAATTTGAAAAGTGCATTGAAAGTACATCTGGAAATCCATGAGTTGCCCAAAAATCAAGTTAGCTCTCCCCTTAATCTGTTATTTCTCTCTTTGCCCCTTTATAATACGAATCATTAGATTTCTCTTCCCCAAATCGCAACCATTAAATCAGGTTTTGTAATACTACAAAAAAGAATGGATTTGTACCGAAACAAACTTAATTAGTGTAGCCATGAACTCTGATATTAGATATATTTATTTTTAGAGTATGCCTAAGGTGACTTGCAAGTCACCATGATTTGGAGAAAACGGTCTACCTATTCCCCAAATCGGTCAACCACTTTCCAAGAAAATGGTCTACCTCTTTCACAAAACGGTCGACCACTTTCCAAGAAAATGGTCTACCACTTCCTTCAAGTGGTCCAACACTTGAGGCAAGCGATTGACAACTTTGAACATACGGCCAACCTGATGAGTGATGACACACTTACTTTCAACTTACACCGCTTTCAGAGAACGGTCTACCTCTTCCACCAAACATTCGACCAGATGACACGGTTACCTTCTATTTATATTAGGAAAATACTGGACAATAGAAGGCATACAATACGAAATTGTATTAAGTAATGCAACATCCTATCATTCGTGGGCAACCAAACTCTGCACATATTATAGGCATAGATAAAAAGAAATAACAGCCTTTTCTTAACTTATAGAATTAAAACCCTTAAAAGCAAGATGATTTGAGATTTATTTGAACGTTGAAGATGACACAATGGTATAACAATTATACTCTACTTTTTAAGTATCTTCATAACAACAATATCAACAAAGTGGATTTATAACAAGACAACCACAGGATGAAAACAATCAAACTTAGAATTTGAAGGAAAAATGAAAGTCTCTGTAGAGTAAGTCCAATCTAAGAAATAAATATGAAAACCATTTTCCAAATCTACGGGTGAACAATCACCCGAGAAACTTCTCATCAATGTTTCGGCCTTTGTACAAATTTTAACTCTTATACCAGCAAACATGTCTATTAATATTGGATTCCTCTAATTATATATGATAATTTTATTAACAATGATTCATCAAATCGACCGGTTGTTGAAATCGGTAGACCACTTGGTGTAAGGGGTAGACCAATTTCTTGAAAAGTAGTCAACCACATAGCGAAAGAGGTAGACCGTTTGATGGAAAAAATAGTCCACTTGATGGAAGCAGTAGACCAATTTCTTGAAAAGTGGTCATCATTATAAAAACTCTTGAAAAGTGGTCGACCACAAATTAAAAAGGTAGACCATTACTCCAAGTCATGGTGACTTCCAAATCACCATAAGAAAGTCTTTATTTTTAAATCTACATAAATCAAGTATCCAATTGAACCCTCTTCAACCATTTAATGGCAACCGCAACCAAGTTACTTGATTGGATCGACTATCCAATATGAGTTGACAACCTTGGCCCATAGTATCCATGCGTTTATATCATTTGCATAATGAAGCCAACAATATGATTTGTACATGTTGAACATTTTCACAATTCAAATGTCACAATGGATCCTTTTGTTAGTTAAGCAACAAAAGAGCCGATGATGATATGTTACACTTTACACATACATACAACCTTTTGTGGAACCCTGCCAATCTCTGGCCTCATATTGTTGCATCCTACAAAAATGACAGGATCGTTTTGACGTTTGTGATAAGTCTCATTTTTCTCTTAGTGCCAAAATGAGGGGTTTAAAGGTCGAGAGAAGACTACTAGGAAGTCGTTATTGGTATAGTAAGTGATAAAATGGTGGAAACCATTAGCTTATAATCAATTGGCTTTGTTAAATAAGCGTCCATCCCCACGGCCAAGCACTTAGCTTCATCTGATGACATTGCATGGGCCGTCAATGCCACAATCGGGATATGAACCCCAATTCTTCCTTCTTCCCATCTCCTGATCTCCTTTGTTGCTTCATATCCGTCCATCTTCGGCATCTGCTATTCTCAACCCCAAACCCACACAGTATATCGAACGTAAATAAGAAGTGAGATAGTAAAGAACAAGAACCAGGAGCAGTTTCAGAGTAACTTCTCACCTGACAATCCATCAAAACAAGGTCGAACGCCTGAGAGTCTTGAATCTCAGGTGAATTTGCGGCTGCACTCCCACATGTCATTACGTTACTGTTTAGGGCTTCCACAGCTTGAAGTCCATCGCCTACAGCAACGACACTAGCACCCATTTTCTCCAGCATTATGGTCGCAACTCTCTGCAGGACTGGTGTGTCTTCTGCCAGTAGAATCCTCAATCCATCAAGAGCTTTCACATGTTTCCCATCCACCGCATTCCTTTCCGTCTTGCAACTTCCTTCATCTGAATTTCCACCCGTCATTTCAACAATTGAACACTTTTGTTTACTCTCCGCTGACCTTGTGGCAGAAACCAAGCTGTTCCAATTTCCATTCCCAAATTTATTTTCACTTCCTTGCTTGTTAGGGCTGGACACTTCGAAATCCTCTGAGCTTGCGGTTTCAAATTGAGTGGGATCAATCTCCACGCACTCATGCATATCACTGCTATCCCTACTATAGCTCCTTTGTCGACCTACATTTTTCTCTTTGATAATGGCCTCAAGGATCTGAACCATCTTTGCCTTGTACAACGGCTTGTTCACCATCAACATGTGCCCTTTGCGGCGAAGCTCCATCTTCACCGGGTTACAAGTGTCATGGTTCAGCATCCAGGCGAACTTGGCTTTCTCTGAGAAGTTGTCCAGGAAATTGAGCTGCTCTTTCCATATCTCTGTGCTCAAGTCAAGCAGCCCTATGTCCACAACTATGACTAGCAAATGCTCCTTCATTTCTTGAACACGAATGACTTCGGCCTTTAGTGGCTCCTTCAGTGGGTGATGCCCATCAATGTTACTACTGCCATTGTTGCTAATGTTATTGTTGTTGTTACTTTTTTGTCTTTTTGATTGAAAGAGTTCATGGAGGACTTGGGTTAGCTCATTCCACTCTGAAATCCCTAGTGTGGGAAGTCCCAAACCTTGTAGCCATTTGGACATAACCACTCTTCCCATGGTTCCGTAGAGTGCAAGCAAGACCTGCATTGTTGGCAATCACAAGACAAAAAAAAAAAAAAAAACGAAAGTCATAATTTTTTTGTTGTGATGGTAGGTGATGAAAGTTAAAACCCATTGTGGTCGATATGAGGAAGCTCTTTAATTACCACCAAATTATGCCTAACGATATCCGTTTGAGGGTGTATATCTGTACAATCTGCTGGTGTACTTAGAAGTAAGAAGAGTCGCATTAGAGTTCCCGCTCCATTCTTCTTCACAACCTTTATTTCTCCACCCATTTTGTGCACCTGGTTTTTATACAGATCTCATCATTCAAAAACTTGCTAGATGATTTATAGTTTATCACATTCAAAACTATTTGAGCAGGCCCAAGATATGGACCAAAAGTCTCTGCTTTTAGAGCAAGTTAGATGCTTACCAAGGTCCGAACGATGCATAATCCAAGGCCAGTGCCACCATGCCTGAAAGCATTAAAATTTAGAAGTTGAAACCAAATTCAATTGAAGAATATAACTATACTTTATTATTCAAGATAAGTGTATAGATTACTCACAATCGTGTAGTGGAAGGATCAGCTTGCTCAAAGCTTTCAAATACAGATTCCCATTTGCTTGGATCAATTCCTAACACAAGAAAGAAAACAAAGTTTGTTAGAGTTTCTTTTTAGGATATTGAGCTGCTTTAAGCTTTGGTTCTCGGTCTGTTGACAACAATATGCAAGTTTTATTTTCTTTACATACCACAGCCTGTATCGTCAATTTCAAACCACAGAATTACTTTATTCTCCTTCCTATTTGATTTCTTTGTATGATTCCCATGTTGCCTCAGCTTCGCCTTGATTGCACATCTCATTTTCTTGTGATCGGAAGGGAACTTGGCAGCATAATCGAAGCTGTTCAAGTTTTCGCACCAGCCTCGCAAGATAATGTGACCAGCTATCAACAAAACAAACATGCCTTCAAGATTACTTCCCGACATCCATGGAGAAATGAAAGTTGTTAGATCCGGGAACTTACATGTCGTGAACTTGATGGAATTGCTTATGAGATTAGCAAATATCTGAACAACCCGGGCAGAGTCTCCTCGTACTAGTTTTGGCATATCGTCTGTAAGAAAGAAAGAGGTTGGACTTGCATTCAGTAAATATATGTAGAGGTGCATTGGTGATTTAATCATTGACAAGAATGAGGGTTGAGCTCAAAAAGATCTTTCTATACCAGAAATATCAAGAACGGCCTCCACATTATGGCTAATGCACTGTACAGAGAACATGTCCATGAGTCCTTCAAGTTCTCTGCATAAATCAAACTCAGCATCTTCCAAAACCAGCTTACCAGACTCAACCTACAAATACAAAATCTTTTTTTCCTGATAAATGGAGAAATTTCCAAAATAATGTTGCTAGTTATTATTGAAGTATTCACATACAAGTGGTAGTTGCTTAATTAAGGAGTTATCACCTTGCTGATATCCAATATATTGTTAAGAAGGCGGAGCAAAGCTGTGGAACATTTCCTGATCTGGGTTACTGTTGCATACTGCTCATTTGTGAGACAATCATCAGAGATTAGAATGTCCAGCAATCCAATAACTGCAGCCATAGGAGTCCTCAATTCATGACTGTAAAATGGAGAAAAGCAAAGAAGAGAGGAATGAAATTGATGATTAAGAAGCATGTTCTTGCATCATACAAAATCAAAAGAGAGACCCTGAATATTGCACATAGTCACATTCCTCACCTCATGTTTGCAAGGAACTGGCTCTTATAATTGTTGGATGCCTCGGCTCTCCTTCTCGCATCAAGGTGGCTGATAAGCTCTGCTCTCAGTTTCATTTCCTTGGACACTCCATTGGTGAGAATCAAAATGAAGACACACCCAGCTACCAGAATGCACAGAGATGCAGAAATCAATATCACCAATGTCTTGAACGCTCTCTCGTCCACCTTCCCCATTATGTAGCTTCTTGGAATCATGATCACCCCGACCTGCACAACAAACCAGTGTTTGCAACATACAAATTCATGCCTAATCGATCACCCACGAAGCTAAATCTAGACACGGCAAAGTTAGAAGGAAGCAAAAACAACTCACTATGGGGAGTCTCTTGAGATTGAGGAAGAAGGAGTCAATATAGTACTGCTGGTGCCCAAGATGAGCATTCTCAACGTGAACCACATGCCCCGGTGGGAAGTTATTCCCGTAGATCTGATTCAAACACTGAGCACCGTTCCTTATCGTGGGATCTTCAGAGTCGACAGCCATCATAAGCTTGGTCCCCGACGATGAATTGGTCAAGAGAGGCGCATCCGTGGAAGTGGCGAGCAAATACCCTTCTTGAGAGGTCAAGTAGATAACATGGCCGCTGTGAACCTCCACAAGCTCCCTCATCAACTGCCCGACGCTATAGAGTGCGGTGGTGACACCCACAACGGCGATGATGGTCTTGTTGGAAGAATCCCAGACGGGCAACGCCGCGGAGAGCATCGGCGAGTCGGCGTACTTGCTCACCGCCACGTGCCACGAGGCTACTCCATCCGGCACCTGTGAAAGCCCCGCAATGTTGATCAAATCGTCGGGGAGAATCGGTTGCGCCTTCCCTAGCTTGTCGCCGGTTACAGGGTCGAGCGGCTCTCGGTACCAAATTGCAGAGAAGTTGTTTTGGATGGCATCGACGCCCCACCCTCGGTGGGCGGTTGTGGACATTGTGGCGTTGATGCCATTGTTGGTGGTGGTGGTGGTGGTGATTGAGTAGTCGACGAGGTCGGAGTAGATGTAGAAGGTGTTGTTGGTGATGTGGTCTCGGTGGAACGCTTGGACGAATCCGTTTCTGTAATTTATGGTGATTGCGTTGAGAGCCTTCCTGCTCGCGAATAGTGCCCACGTTACATCTCTCATCACTTCGTACAACTGCATAAATCATGTCACCCAAAAGAAAGAAAGAAGAAGAAAAAAAACCACACCAAATGATTTCACATATTTTTGTTTTGTGAGAATTAAAAGACGGATGGATCAGTCCAGCAAAATTGATTGCACCAACCTCTACTTGTTCAGCTTGAGTGGAGGGATTGTTGTAGCGTCTCAGGACGTATTCGGTGAGCTTGACTTGGGCAGTCGTGATTTCGGAAGTGGAGTTGACGATGTTCCACATGCGCAAGATGGGCCGCTGTAAGAGCTCGTAACGAAGGCCCGAAGCTAGGGTGTCGAGCGACTTCTTGGTGTAGCTCTTGGTGAAATGCCAGGTGAGTATGGTGAGAAGGCCTATCAGAATTGCGAGCATCACCTGAAGCAGCAAAAGGGAATTCGAAATTCGGGTTTTTCGAAACAGTGGAGGAGAGAATGCAAAACAAATTGTGGATGGCATACCATGATGGCGAGTCGAACGACGAAGACGCTGTAGTAAGAAGAGAGACAGTGAGCAGCAGCACAAGGAAGCTGCTCGTCCTCTTCGACATCCCTTCGGAAAACTCGCTGTCTTGTGCTGCTTCCCACGGTGTTTGGTTTCATCCAAGTCCAGCTAGAAATTCTTTCGAGGAATCCGGTGAAAGGAGGAGCCATGGATGGGGCAACAATACTAGTGCTCAATGGCGAACATTCTGAAGCGACGGTAGTGGCTGTGGAGTTGGTTTTGCTCTCTTGATGGTTGTCTGCCATGTCTGAATCCTATAGCATGAAGCAGGTGGTCTGAACATGAGTTGGGTTTCTCATGTACTATGGAGCACTCCAAATCTTTCTGATATCTTTTTTGGGTTTGCAAGTAGCCAACACTGGACAGTTGAAAGAGGGGAATGTTTGTGCTTTTATTCTGGAAATGGAATGAGATTGAGACACCACGCTGGAGAAATATATACACACAAGTCAAGTTGGGTTGTGGGCCCACAACTTTCATATACCATGATGCCAAATTAAAAGAAAAAACTGAAGGACGAAATTCAATTTCTTGAGCTTTTATCTCTGGAACACTCAACTCAAGTTGCATAGTCCTGAATATGGTCGCACACGTGGCCCGTTGTTTGCCATGTCGTCTTTTAGTGACGAATCATATGCCTTGTAAGTGTGTGTGGATTTTCTGGTTTTAGGGGGTTGCTATCGATTTTAATCGATTATATTTGTGTTTAGTGGGTTTTGACCATGAGGAACGATGTCAACAGAGTTGGCCTCCGAAAATCTCACCGGCGACGGACGATGGGAAATGCGATGGTTCTGGTGAATTTCTTTGGTTTCAATTGTGGCTGAGGGAAAGGAAACCGAGGGACCGAAAGGGAGGAGAAGAAGCGGGCGGCGACGATGACTAAGGGAAGGTTTTGCTTCTGGTAAGTTTTTTTTAGATGTTTTGGTGGATTTTTAGAGGTTCTGACCTGGGTTTTTTCTGGTTTCTTTCATTTTTGGCCGAGAGAGGAGGGAAAGCACGACTGGAAAGAAAGTGGATCACCTCCGGCGGCTGATGTGGCTGGTGGGTGAGGTTCGGCTCTATCTTTGTTTGGATTCTGTTTTTCTGTCATGATACGATGGGTTTTGTATTTGGGATCTTAGGACTGATTTCGGCTATGAATTGGAGAAATTGGGGTTCATTTGTGGTTTTGGATCCTGAAATGGGATTGTGGTTGGTGGTAATTGTCTGTTTTTGGATTTGGCAAGTTTGTGGGTTTATGGAGGCTTTGGTTCTGGAAATTTTGTAGCTTTTATAGCGAAATTGGTAATGGCAATGTTATGTGGTAGTTGTGTCATGTGTGAGATATCTATATTAGATTTGAATGTGAATTTAGATAACTAAATGAACTTTAAGGTAGAGAGAAAAATTAAAATGGGTTTCCCAAACATAGCATACAAGCTGCTTTTCAGAAAAGACTACCCTTTGCTCTCTTTAGCTTTAAAGCAAGAATTGGGTTGAAATGGATGGAAAGGGTGGATGAGTTACTTAAGCTTGTAGTAAAAGTAGAAAAATGAGATGGAGATGATATAGATGATTATGGTGATTACGATGGTATTGGTTGAAGAAATACTAACCTTGTTTATCTGATGCTTGTTGTCGGTTCTGTCTTCTCTCCAAACTTCTTGCTGCTGCCTTTGTTGTCTCTTCTTTAGTGTGTTCGTTTATGAGGAAAAGGGAAGGGGAAGCTCTCTGTTCTCTGTAAGAAGTGAAGCAGAAGAGATTGGAAATCGTGGGGAAGAAGGAGTAGTTGTATGTGGACTTGTGGTTAAAGAGGAAGAAGAGTAGTGGTCATTTCATATTTGTTCCGGTATCTCTCGAGCTCTGTCTGTGTAAAGGGAAGAATGTCTTGGGAAGAAGCTGAAGAAAAGAAGAGGTCTTCCGTTTTATAGGAGAAAAAGGTTACTGTTTGGCCATTTGGTGGGGGGTTTTGATTGGCTAGTAGGGTGTACATTAAGTTGTATTTTTTTTATTGGTAGTTGAGTGGGCTGGACTTACATATTGGTATACTGTAGTGATTAGTGAATAGTGCATGGTTTGGGTTTTGGGTCTGATTGGGTTTGGTCAACGGGTCAGATCTGTCTATTGACTGGGGTTGACTTTCGTTGACCGGGTTTGACCCGAGACCCGAGTAGACCAGTGTTTGGGATTGGACTTAGGTCGACTGGTCTTTAACTTTTGATATGGTTTTTGACATTTGATTTGACTACGCATTGGACTGGGCTTGAGCCTAATTTTTTTATTGGGAAGATTTGTGGTCAGTTTATTTTTTGTAATTAGTTGTAAATGTAATTGTTATTATTGTAGTAACTAGCCTTTTTACCCGGCCCGTTGGCCGGAGAGATTTAATTTATAATTTATATGTTTAAATTATTTTGGATCTTCTAAATATTTTATAGCAGAGTTTGTAGTATGTCTATATTGAAATTTCCAATATTTAGTACACTCACTTGTAATGCTTCGGTTTTTGAATCATAAATTATGTCGCTGTCACGTCCCATTTAGAACTTATGTCAAAATTTGTCAACCAAAACACTAATATTTAACGTACGCCAACCTGAACCACACACACATATATATAGTTCAAGCTAGCGTGCGCCAGGAGTACGCTATACTCTTGTGTTCATACTACCATACGAACATTGAGTTTTACTATTTAGACCCGAATTAACCGGAGTTTTTTGGGGCATGATACTATACCCTAACCTCTAATAGGTGAACTCTAGTCCCTAATTCTGTAACCTCTAATTTATGCACATACTTCGTAATTCCTATCTTCTATCGTATCTTGAGTTAAATAAAGTATAGTATACATTGATATTACATATACATGTATATATATGTGTGTGTATATGTATATTAGACTCAAAATTATCTAGAGATCTCGCTTTTACCCCCATAACGCCAGACAACCATTGGGGTTGTCTATCGTTCCATATGTAATATATAAAGAGACAAATACTAAGATCCTACTATTTATTTCTTATCCTCTCCCACTATCCCCTTTATGGAGAATAAAAAGGTAGGGATGACAGGATCATAGCTCAATATGGTTTTATTATGTTCATCGTATTGGAGGTTATGTTCTTTTTTGCTTTTTTTTTTTTTTTTGCTTCTTTTTCATTCTACTTTATTACCTATGGTTGTGATAAGAGGTAATTAGCCCTCGAAAGGGGTTGGGAATCCAATACACATTCATGATCCTCGAGTTTGGACGAACTCTCGACCAATGTTGTAAAAATTACGACTTTTTAGTGAGAAATTCTTAGTAAAGATACTTCATTATTGGATTTATTCATCCATATTGAAACTTGACACACACCGTAGCCCTCATGATGACTAAATTCTCTAATATCGACTCATTTTCATTTTGGATGTTTGTTTTTTTATCCAGACACTTAAATTTAGTATATTATACAATATGTATCAATTGTTAATTCTTGAAGTTTATACTAAACCTCAATCGGTGGTCATTGTTTATATGTTGGCTTAGAATCTCAATCTAAGGCACTCACATACACTATCGAGGATTTTGGTCTTAAAATGATCGTTGAATGTGTAATTTTCAAAGATTTTATCACTTATATATTAATAATTGATAAAGAGTGTCTCCAGTACACAAATATTTTAAGTGCATTTAAAATGTCTTATCATTTGAACAATATAAGTGTATTTCATTTGATTATTTGCATTAACTTATTATCTTATACAACATATATTAATTCGTGTTTCTCGAGTCTAGACGAACTGACAACCAATTTAGAGAGCTGAGATTATTGGATAAAGATACTTGATTCCTGGAAAAATATGTTTATCCCAATTGACGATCTTACTAAAAATTACCAACCTTTATTTGGTAAATGCCTAGGTCAGTAGCTGATGAAACGTGATGTTTATCGTAGATTCTGAACAAAGATTTTTCTAACCTTCACATCTATTATTTTTCAAGTAATTTTGTGTCTCATCCTAGGGTATGAAGTCAAAGTTCGTCAACAATCATACTTAAGTCATTTTGAAAATTTTGATTTATAATCTTCGAAGATAACTCCAAGTCTGAAAGAAAATTTCTTAGCATACGACTTAGAACCTCAATAGAGCTTGCTCAATCAACAGGATATAGAGCAAATATTATTAATGTGAACTTAGGTCACATTATCAAATTATTGCATATGCGATTCCTCTTCATTTGAGGAATTTAAAGTAGAACATGATCTGAATGAATAAGAATTTTTTTTTAAATAAATAAATGTAACTACTCGATCAAGATTATACTCTGACATTTTGCTGAATAATACAGTTTTATTTTATAGATATATACTGTACGAATAAGAGAGTGTTTCATTGCAACAAAATATAAAGTAATATAGTTTATTTTTCAAAGGTAATTGAATGTCAAATGTTTATTTTCTCTCTTTTCATTTATATTTTGGTTTAATCGATTAAAACATAATTGTTTATATGTATGTTTGTTCATCAAAATGTAACTTATCATTGAATTTTAGTAAAAATGAGTAGAAAATTTATTTCATAAGGTTTAATCAGATATTTTTTTATTTAAATAAATGTGATATATGTCACTCTCTGTTTTCTTATTTATATTTTATTTATTTAACAAAAATTATTATTTATGTGTGTTTGGTTAAGTTTATCAACATGTAACTTATTATTAAAGAAAAAAAATTAATGGATAAATGAAAAAGAATAATTGGATAAAAGAAATGGAAATGTTAAAGAAGAGAGAGGTAGCTCCATAAATACATTAATAACTAATTTTTTGTTTGTAAAAAAGTTGTCCAACTTGGCAAATTGTGGATCCTCCAAGTGCTTATGTGGCAAGAAATTTCTTTTGAATTGCCATAATATATAGTATTGATGATTGATTGATGATTGATTGAAAGATGATTGATTGATTGATGATTGATGATATTGATGATGATAGATAGATAGATATAGATAGATAGATGTAGATAGATATAGAAGATAGATAGATAGATAGATAGATATAGAAGTCTAATTATAATTATTGCTCGGCCATCGGCCGGGTGAGTTCTGTTTGAATATTTAATTCATTTTGAAGATAGATAAATTTTGTTCATATTTTTGAAACTCTCACTAATCTTGAATTTTGAAAAATGAAGGTTTTGGTAAATTTTGGATTTTGTAAAATCATGGATTTGTTTTTTTCATCGATTTCATAATGAAATTTGTTAATTAGATTTGTATGTATGAAGTGAAATATGCATTTATTGCACTCATTGATATGAGAAGAGAAATTAAATAAGAGGGGTAGTTTGGTCTTGAATGATGGATTTTAAAGTCTATGATTAATTCTGCATACGCTTTACCCCAATCATTTCGGATAACGCTTGCATACTTTGTATACCGTGGCTGTTGGCATAGATTAGCCTATGCTTATTCACCTCTAGGTGGAACTTTCAAGTACGTGGGGTCCACAAATTTGGACTCTTAAAGTTCGTGTGACCAGTGTAGTCAAAATCGCGCATTAAAACGTAAAAACTTACGTTTTTACGTATCCAAGCCACCAAAACGTTTCAGTTTCTACCTAAAGTCGCTTAGTCACAAAAACTGGTAAAACCATGGGTAAAATCGATAAAATCACTTAAAATCGGTAAAATCGCGATTCTGAAGCGTTTTTATACGATTTTGATCATCTCATAAAAATGTGCTAATTGGCCCAAAATGATGTAATTTTGGAGACATATCAGTAAAAAATAAAAAAGGAAAACATGATTCATCACTCGTTCTACAATTAGTGTCGGAATAGGGGATTCACATTAGGTTGAAAAGACACCTAATGATATTCTCAACAACTGCTGACCTTCAATTAGTCTTCTCCCTTAATTTTCACCTATGGCTCTTACCTTGGTTACGATGAAAGTTTTTGGGTAATTGATCATATGTAATTATGTAAACTCAAACCAGCTTATGAGAATTTGGATTCTCAAGCTCGTTTACGGGTTACGATCTACGTTTATGAGCTTATTATTGAGATGCTATGAGTTATCTCTACTTTTGAGTCAACGCAAATTAGTTTATGTGTTAGATATTACATTTTAATTATGAATTTCATGTAGTTATCCACTTATCTAAAATCTACACACTCACATTTTACATACTATATGTTGTACTTAACATATTTTAGCTATTTTAGAGGGTGCGTAAAAAACTTAGGATTTTACGCTTTGATTCTACGTTTTACGATTTTACCCATTTTCCGTTTCTAGGTAGAATCTCGCTTTTAACTGCATTGCGTGTGACCCATGGATTTGTCGCCCCTAAATATATGAAGCAAACAATGATTTTTGGACAATGAGATTTGTTGTCTCATAATCAAATCCATCAAGCAAACGACCCTTTAAGGGTTTTTATAATTAGTCTCTCATTATGGTTACAAATATTTCCTTACAGATGTTGATGATTGTTGATAATTAGTCTCTCATTATGGTTACAATGGTTTCCTTAATTAGATTTGTATGGGCTCAAGCAGGATAGCAGAAAGTGGTTCATTGAACTCTATGGGTTTTTTAACGAGTATAGGATTTTGACAGTCATAGGAGAATTTTTCTATATTCAATACATTTGAGGGGTTTTCATTGCATATGGAGATTATCTACTAGCAGGTCCTAGCATGAAAGAAATTGAGGTGGTCAAATAATAATTAGAAGAAGGATTTAAGATCAAGCGTATAGGAAATATGAAGTACTTATTGGGATTGGAAGTAGCAAGAAATAAGGTGGGCATTTCACTTAATAAAAAAAAAAGTTATGTCTAGAGCTATTGGTCAATGCAGACTTCTTAGAAAACAAACCTTCAAAAACTCCACTTAGCATGAACACTATGTACTTTGCTTCAATTGGAATTCCACTAGAAGATGAGACTCATTTCAGAAATTTGCTTGGTTAACTTCAGTACTTGACTTCGACAAGACTAGACAATACCTTTCATGTTCAACTATTATGCAATTTCAAGCTAATCCGACTAGAACACATGTGAAAGGACTTCATCGAATCCTAGCTAAGATACCTGGAAGGTAGTCCAAATCAAGGT